ATATATTATTATATATATATATATATATATATATATATATATATATATATATATATACAATTGCATCGAATGATGATCAAGATGGAAAAAAATATATATATATATAACGTATATATATTATCATATTTATATATTTAAAATATCGTCAATTAGAAATTTCCAAACTTGATTTCCTTTGTACCCTGCTTAAATTTAAACGTTATCACATTCTCTCATTGCTTTGTATACAACATTCTTCTCGTGGTCATCGTACATTATTTTAAAAATCTACCTCGTTGACAATCGCGTGGAAAATCGTGATCATTTCGTCTATCTAATTGTGCATTACGTCAAAGGCCTCTCGAACAATACGCGATAATATTTAATTTATTTTATCCTTTGAAAACAACGGTACAATTTCCTTCGAGAAAAGAAAAAAAAGAAGAAGATAATAATACGTTCTGTGAGCACTTCTCTTGCCGATCTTGTCAGTCGGAAGTGGAAATTTCATACACCGGGTAATTCGAACGCAATTTGACCATAATTCTTTTTTTTTTCTTCCTTTATATGTATATGCATATTTTTTTTTTCTTTATCTTATTTTTTTTTTTTTTTTTTACGTCGCGTACAATCGTTTTGTCTTAAGCATATCTTAAGGAAAAGTCTTATTGCTCTTAGAAATAGAGGAACATATTAGGAATGATTCTACGATATCTAGATAGCTCCGTTTTCACGAACGAAAAATATAGGCGGAAGTTATCGTTTGCGTAGACAGATTTGCGCGAAAAAGAATTCATATATTTTATCCGATATCAACGATTTAGCATTTATCAAGAAATTTATCGTAGACGATATGTTTCGTGTATGATTTTAACCTTGATAAAATTTGATTGAGGCACTCGAGTTTTTATCACGATGAATATGCAAGCAACGACCGATTTTTATTTATTATTATATTTTACGATCGGCATATTCATTTTTTCCTTTTCTTACTTCTGCATCCTCCTTTCGCATATTTTAATAAATAACTATGTTTCGTTCGCGCGGATATCTTGTCCATACTAGAGATCACATTAATAGTTATTAATATTTCTTCCTTTTCATTTTTTATGCACGTGTTTATCGTGTTAGCCGTAATGAATTTTCTTCACATTTGTGTGAATTTAATTCAATTCAAATTCATCGATGTCCATGTTTTGTTTATCCTCTAGGATATGTTAACACGTTGATTACCTATATCATCGTAATTACGTATTTATCATGCCAATTAAGTATATTTTACTACGAGTATACTCGTAATTGGTAGTCAACGTGTTAAATACGGCAATCGTGTTACTACAGTACATTTGGCACATTCTCTCTAAGGCTATCGCGTAAATGCAAACGAAATACATTATTGTCGTTAGTAATAATTAAGGGGGAGGAAAAAAAAAAAAAATAGTTGCACACACACACACGCGTGTCGCGCGAAAAAATATTTCTTCAAAGGAAATTTATATTCTTCATCGTTTTCTAGTCGTAAAAAATAATCCGATACGATCTATGATAAATTGGGATGGAAATAAGTACAATCGTTGGTGGTTCGTTTAAATAACAAATGAAACGGACACGCGTGATTAAAGTAGAATCGATTTGTTCTCTCTATCGATGAAATTCGCGTTTACGGTTAACATTAATGAACATTATGCTTAAGAAAGTGACGTTTAAACCTAACATGACGAATCCTCGCGAAATAGCTCGAAAGGAAACCTCGTTGAAGAAAGAAGTGAAATACTTAAAAAGAATAATCTCTACGCTATTGGAGAAAAGAAAGAAGGAAATAAAAAAAGTGTGTATATCAATAATTAAAACGCGCCATCGATTTCGCTCGATCCCCGATCTTTGACGGAATATGTCAATACGTTCGAGCGAATCGCGGAATACTATAATTTCAAGAAATTACAGCGTTACGGAGACTCGCGTCTTCTTGTTTCTTGGCCATAAGAATTATGCATTCTTCTTCTAAAAGAAAAAGATAAGAAAGATACGAAGTAATAATTCCAAACAGCTTCCACATATTTTCCATAGTATCGATATTTTGTAATTATGTATCCGTCTACTTGTGATTATTATAATAAAGATAAAAATGGCAAGAAACAAAATGGGACACGAATCTTTGCGAATCTTGAAACAATCGCAAGCAAAATTGAAATGTGCTCTTTCTTTTTTCGATCTCGACTAACTCTAACTTGTCTCTAATTAATTGTCTCGCTAAATCGTCCCTAAACGCATCACAGAAAGATTTTCACAGTTTGATGTTTTGATTTAAAAAATTGTAATTGCGTATTTTTTTTTTTTTTTTTAGACGCTGAGTCTAAGAAAAAGTCTAGCATGTGCACCGTTCATTTCAGATAAAAATCATGTTCGTGGAATTTCCGCGTGCAAATTGTTCATTCGTCTCTCTTTCTAGAATCGTATGATTTTCTGTCAAGATTGAAGAACGATGATTTAAAATTCCTTTTTTTTTTTTTTTTGCAATTTTTCTCACGATTTTTTCGCAAATAGACGGGATTCACCGCGAGAGACAATCGATCGGAAATTGAATATACATGGTGCGATTGTTTCATAATCGGTGCAATGGAACTCAAATATACATATACTATACACATATCTAATACGGCGTTAAGTTATTAAATATTATCATACTTGGAGGATGCGGAGGATCGCTTGTAATCTTACGTAAAAAGGAAACGACATGTACGTTGAACGGCTAAGGTTTGTCAGGAAATAAATACGTTAAGCAACTTTTGTTGGGCATACGTGGGGAGAAACGGGACAGACGATAAAATTATCGAGTATCGTTCGATAGTTGTTACATCTCTTTGACAAAGAGAACGCTGTTTGAGACTTTAATTCGATCGCTCAACGACATCCCTCATGTCTGATTTATACTTATTGCTTGAGAGCAGACTATAATAGAGTCAAACTAGATACTCGCCCAATTCTGTCGCGTTCCTCACGTTTGTTTTAAAACAAACGATAATAATCATGTTACATCGAACGCACCTCTTACGTCTTATCACGCGTACGCTACATTAAAAATTCGTGAGCGATATCGATTCAACTCGTCTCTAACGATAAAAGAGAAATACGCTTATGTAACTCGTCGCATAACCGCACAAGGTGAAGAGGATCCATCCTGAATCACGATCCATAGTCTTTGGCAGTATAAAGACGCGTTTATGTATACGTAGAAATAGAAATAGGAAGAGGAAAAACGATTCGACGGATATATCTGTTTTTACGCGACCAAGAATAAAATCGTCCTCGCAAAACCTGAAATCGTAATACTGTTTTCAATGTTTGCTTATGTCGCCAAACTCGGGTATCTCGGAATGACGGACTCCGCTCAACTCGTCCTGGATCTGTTGCAAATTCTTCCCTTCGTCTCGGGTAATACCAATATCGTGAATATTACGCTAACCACACAAAACACGGCAAACAACCAGAAGAGGATGTAATTGCCAAACTTCTGCAAATCGTTGGCGAATTTGGTGATGAAGAAGGAGACCAACCAGCATATAGACACCGTGATCCCGGAAGCCTTCGATTTCACGTTCGATGCGAACATCTCGCCCATCACGGTCCATGGAAGAGGGCCCCAGCCTACACAATATGTCGCGATAAAGATGACCAATGACAAGATGGGTAGAAACCTTATACTGTCCACGTTTGCTCCATTGAAACTTAGGTAAAGATAGATACCTAATGCGACCTAGAAATAAAAGAGAAAGAATCGTAGAAATTAGAATCGTAGTTTCTAATAAATAGATAAAAGTGGAATTATTCGTTAAAAGTAACGTTTGACGATTGCGTTGATTTTATCCACATGATTAATTACTTGCCACGAGTTTCTGCGAGTTTATATCGCTATACGGCAATTAACGAGACACGCGTCTGCGAGGAGCAAAAGAAAAAATATAATCGCGATTGAACGACGCTATCGATCGATCGATCGATGAATTACAAAATTAACGCTACCGGTAATTAACCGCATTCCAAGCATTCTTGGACACAGCTCGTCACCGCTCCCGACCCACTTCTTTTCCTTATTGTTTTTTCCACCTTCGTTGTTGCCTTCTCATTGCCGCATCGTCTCGTCATTATGAAATTTAGATAACAGCGTCACAACTCGCGAATCAACGATCGATCCTTCGTATATGCGATGAGACATTGACATTGACTGCGACCGCATGATCGGTGCAACAATCTATGATATTACGGATAATTAACCGGCCTCATAATTCCAGACTCGTGAAGTCATCCGATGATTTCCGTGTCGATGTGCCTTTTCCTGTTTACTGAAATTTTCTTATAGACACGCTTCGCGGAGATTATTTTAAACGAAGAATAAAGGATCGGAAGAATAATTTAGTTGACAGTTTCATTTCGTTGAAATAGGCGGCAATAATCAAATAGTTAAGAATTAACCGAGCTATATACTATATGCCTATAATAATAGAAAAGTAACAGAAATTGCCTTGTCTCGTAAATAATTCACTCGAGATTTTAAAAAATTCGGAATCGTGGATATATTAGTAAGAGAATATAAACAAGAATTTGCATTTGTAAATAATTCTTGGTAGAAAAAAAAATGTAAAAGAAAAACTTGTAAAAACTTGTAAAGAATAAAATCTGAGAAACAAAATTATTCTTTAATTTAAAAAATTGATGAAGATCGATTCGACAGAAAGATGGTTGAGCGGAACAGCCGGCGAGGAAAAGAAAGAGGAAGGTCGGGAGCAAACGACCTCGACGCGATTCCGACGTATGTTCGTGTTGCACCGGTGGAATGCGGTGTGCATCAGGAGTACACGATCGCGAGGTTACATAAATCGATTTGAATAGGCGGTACAAGGCCGCGATCGATTTGTTGCCATTATTTTGCAATACCTGCGAAACGTACGCGATGGACAGTGGATCAAGGCCATGAAGAAGCACACTCGGTCCGCTATGCGGCGAGAAATCATTGCGATCGTCCATCGGTTTATTGACAATCTCTCGATGGCAAATCGAATGTCAAATTACAATTGGTTGTGTATATACATTGCATAGATACGATCTAGCTGTTTGTATCGACGATAATAAATGAGACGATAATGAAATTTCAGCAAAACTGTCAATCCAGCGTGGAAACAATTGAACTTGTCATTAAGATCGAAGATAAATATTGTACGTAGCATCTGAGAAATGAGAAATCATAGAAGGATAACAATTTGACACTTCACAATTTTTTCCTGTATCTTTAAGAAATGCAATCTCTTTTTTTACGATCTTTCTCTTTGAAGGAAAAAATTTTTGCTTATTTCGAAAATAAAAAAAAAATAAATAAATAAATCCATCTTTATTAAAAGTTACGTACACGAGCCCGACTTTCAATGCAACTTTTCCTCAAGAAATCGATTAAGCATCGGCCAAATTCTTCGAAAGACGGCCTTAAACCTTGCCTCGTCCACGCATCTATGCGGTACTATGCGGTGGTTGGTATGCAGTAGTGTGCAGGTCGAATAATTTGACTTGTTACAGGTATTTGTGAAATACCTAGAATAGTATGAGTCACGCAACTCGATCACGTAACTCTGTTCGAAAAATTTTTACAATTGACGAAATATATTTTCACAAAGATGAAACTCTGTAATAGAAAGGAAAGAAAGGACAAGAAAGAAAACTGTAATCAAGTATCGGCATATTCGTTACAGTTTACAGTTATCAGAAATCGACTAAAATGATAATCGACTACGTTTCTTACATTTCGATCCAACGAATTGCTGAATAATTTACCGTCATTATTTGATGTTTCCAAGCGTAAAAAGCAAATTCGCAAAATATCGTTTCGACATCGAAGAAGTCAAGACTTCGTTAATTTGATTTTATTTTAACGTGTTTAAATTATCGATACAGCAAGAAATCGAGTCCACGTGTCTCGCCTTATGTTTTCACGCTGTAGAGAAAAAAAAATATCTTCATCATCGTGTTTTTTAGACAAATATGTGCCTTCTCGTAACGAAAGAAGATTATATAATTGTAATAATGGCGATATCGTACAATATCATTGCGTCACTTTCGCAAAATGTAAGACTTAATGTAAGAATTAATTAGACAAATGAAACGGAAATTGGAAGAATCGCTTACCAGGGAGACGACCTCGCCAACGCCGGAGAAAATAAGCAGTATTTTTCTACCAAGTCTGTCGACGATCAATGGCGTGATTCCGGAAGTGATTACTTGAACTGTACCGACGATTATGGTTGCCAATGAGCTAGGTAACGATGAGTTTGCAGCTATGAAGATAGCTCCCATATTAAAGAGGACCACGTTGATACCACTGGCTTGTTGGAAAGCGACGAGAAGACACGTAAATAGCAAAGCTTTCATGTTTGCCTTCACTTTCCATAAATCCGACAATTTCGCCTCGTTTTTGAACGCTTCGTCGATGGAAGCCTGTACAAATAAATATATTATTATTATTATATAATAATTGGATCAAAGCGTAGTTTAAGAAAGAACATTAGAGGAAATGTAATTCCATTACTAATAATTCATGAAAAATAGAATTTTAATCGATATAAAAAATACGATAAAAGTGTTTCGATAACACCGATGACCACCAATCGTACATTTTGACCCTTAGCGAGCGATGCAGATTCAAAACGATTAATAAAGAAAATGTATCTTAGTTATTACGTTGGATGGAAAATGAAAAGAAAATTGAAAAAAATAACGAGCGATTTCCGTCCGAATTTTGAACGATTGGCCACGAAAAGCGGAAGATCGCGTGTGTATTTACGCGTGATACTCGAGACGCGGGAACACGTGACGAGTTAGTCACCCGACTACGCGATTCAATAGCGTATAGAGGCACGTTGGAGGAACGCCGTTACCATTGGTGGATCAAGGAACGACCTTACCCCCGGCCTCGTTCAGCGAACGTGACCCGAACGCCGATATGATATTGCGCCTCTCGCCGACACTTTGCAAACCGATCGCTCTTATCCCACCCACTCGTCACTTTTCTTCTTAATTTTTGCTGAAATTCTTTTTTCGACGCGACAAATTCTAATTATGCGTTATGCATTTTTATGACAAATCGTGTATACACACTGTGCTGCAACGCGATAATTATTATTTTTCATCTATTTCTTATCACATACTTTCTCTGCTACAGTTACAGTTATATTAATACTTGGCATTGTCGTCATTGATTTCTTAATTCGACCGTTTAATGATCATTGTTAAGCTTAAATCGTTTTTCCCGTTCGATATCGTGACCTAATTCAATCTCGTCTCGACGGCGTGACGACGCTCTTCCATAGTTATAAGGTCGAAACACGTGCTTCTGACGGATAAACTTCCCTCTTGATCTACATCTATTCTCCCTGTTCTCTTCCCTAACACGTTTGAACGGAAATTATTCTGACCTCGAAAATGCACGGAAATAACAACGAGGACCGTACGGAAATAGAGTTGAACAAGTAGATATTTTCGATTGTATTGTTATTCTCTTTATTAATCCATCATATTTATACGTACCTGCATTTCATCTGCTTCCTTTTGCACGCTAGCGATGGTCTTGCTTCGCAATCTAGCCAAAGACTGGAGCGCCTCTTGTTTTTTACCGATCTTGAGCAATTGATACGGTGATTCGGGCATCGTGATGAAACAGCCGACGAACACGACAGGTATAATGGCGCAGAGTATGCAGAATACCAGATAAGACACGTACGGGCCGATAGCATACGAATACAAGAGACCGATGGTGACGAATAACTGCAGGAAAGATCCCAGAGCTCCTCTCACGGATATCTGTTCGATTACAGGGTTTGAATGTTAATTAATCGTGTTACGACCAAGGACTTGATCGGAATGAATAGAAACGACGTTTACCTCGGCGATTTCACCGCAATACATGGGAACGACCGTGAAGGCGAACGCTAAGGCGAAACCGAGGATCACTCGGGCCACGCACAATTGGATCACGTATTTGGCTGTTCCGATTAAAATCCAACCGATCAGAAAGGGCACTACGGCTGACAGCAGTGTCATCTTTCTACCCAATCTGTGAAATATTACCAAATGGCGTGATTAAAGCAAGGTTTGAAATAAATTTATAAGAAGAGAATTTTATTGCAAATTTTCGAACAAAAATTTACGATCAACTCGAAAAGACAATAAGACGCGTGATTTTGAATAAAATAGTAATACCTTTCAGCCAAATATCCAGCCACGAAGCTTCCTATTATCGCTCCTATGGAAACTAACGAGGAAATCCATGAATCTTCCTCGTTGTCGATTTTTCTACCCAGAGGATTATACCCACTGGCCAAACCTTCATCGTTCTTTAAAAGAGGTATCACGGAACTGGTCCATCCTAACATAGCACCGGCTGACACGCAACAAAGGTTTGCTGAAATGACCAATACCAATACCATTAACCTTCCGTGTTATATTCCGTGATATTACGTGATGCTATTAGAAGCGTGGTATCGGCGCCCGATTAGCCTCGTTTTACGCTGAATCGAAAATAAAACTCGAGGAGGATATACGATAACGAACGACGATCCCCTTCGAGGGACTACAAATTTTCCGCGTGCGAGATAGTCACGGTTAGTTTGAATTTGCGAACAGATTGCGAACTGGTCACGTTCCTCCGAGTTTCCCCGATCTTCATCACCCGCATAACCAACGAGCGCTTCGAATAGATTTTCGAGGGAAAAGGAGACGAGAGATGATATACAAAGAACAGAAGAAGTTAAGTCTATTTCCGTCCGTTTGTTCGCGCCGGTTCGAATCGATAAAATAGTCTTATTCTTATATATATATATTATAGGAGGTTTTCGTCGAGGTTGTGGAATAATTTGCCGATGATAACGCAATCGAAAAATGCGTGGACAATGGTTCGCGCGACAGATAAACCGTAATCGAAGAATTTTTCCATCTCAATCGAGCTCAAATTGCTTATCGTTTTCTTCATTGATACATTATGTAATTAATATAGGCCGATAATCGTCGAGCAAATGGTGGCTGTCGATCATTTATTGAATATCTTTGTATGCCACAATTTAATACAGGATATACAAATTTTCTCTTTGATCTAATCGTGTAGAATGATTTTTTTTTTTATTTCTAGTTACAATGAAAAAATAATATTTCATAGTGAAATAGTCGAAGTGTTATACTGATTATTATATAATATCTCGAAAATCTTCATCTCGATGAATCTTATTTCATTTCACATTTTCAAGTATAATCTTTCCGTAAATTATTGAATCGTATATTTGTGTCTTTGACGTAAGATATTAAATATATATATATATACAACAAGCTTGGAAACAAGCTTACCTCGCGATTTTTCAACGCGAGAGAAAGAGGACGATGATGGATTAGATTAGAAGACGCAAAGACAACGAGATTTTAATCGTTCGAATCCATTTGTTTTACTTCCTCCCTTATCGATTCATCTTCGCATTTTCGTGCATTTTTCTCAATTTCTTTTATTACTTTTTTCTCTCCTTTCTTTTTCCTATACGCTCGATACGCGCAATGATCGAGATTCGATGTTTCGAACGGAAAATCGAATCCCCCTCTCATTATGCAACGAGTGATTAAAGATGGATTAATATGTGATAAGGAAAAGGTGAATCGCGAATACAGCTGCAATTTACGCCTGATTTTCTATCCTCGTCGTGAAGATGATATCATCGAGGATAACATTGATCGGGAATGTTTGATTACGTTAAGTATGTTCAAAGGTGTTTAAAGAAACAGTAGACCTAACTATGTACAGCTCACAATCAGTTTAAACCATAGTGTCCATTACGTTTACAAATGCAATTAGGATGTTTGAACTTACCTATTATCGGAATTTCAAGTTTACTTCTTTCTTCTCTTTTTGCTTAACTGAGATTTAATATCGAATTCATTGTAGACAAAGTAAATACGAGCATAACAGGAAATACAATGACAAATCATAATAATATTGCATTAAACTTCTTTTTTTTATTTTAAAAAAATATTTTATAATAAAATAATTTATTATAATTTAATCTTCGATTGTAAAATGCAATTTCCGTCTTCCGTCTACCGTAATTGGATTTGTAAACGTATTTTTTGACATACATATCTTATTTTTAAAAATCTTATTTCTATTCAAAATCGCGAGCAAAAAAAATTTTTTCCCGAAAAAAGTTTTCATTCGAAATATTAAATAATTAGAAAGAGTATTATGTATTACAATCAAGACGACGCGGCAGTTTCATTTTTCTTCCTCCTTTTCCACTGAATCAAGGTGATATCCACGGAAACATGAATCAAGGTCATATCCACGAGTGAATCTCGGTTTTGCATGATTCTCAATTTCAAAGACAAGGCGTTCAAGGCGATCTTGGTGCATCCGTTGATGCATGGAGATGAGGATATCTCGATTTCCCGAGGAAATTGAAATTATCGAGATCACCGAGCTCGGCTGTGTAACCGACCAAAGGATATCTACATATCCTAGATTCGTTCGATGAAATATTCAACAGATAATCGTGCTCGTGAATAGAAGAAATTGGATGAAATTGAAATGATTATGTTAACTTATCCCGTATTTTAGCAGGAATTATATTCGTGCTAAAGTGATAAATCGTTTTAAGTAGCCTTATCGGATGAAGCAATGATTTCGCTACCGCGAATTAAATAGGAGTGGCCGATTATGTTGCAAAGAACATGTTTATTTTTTGTTGTCGAAGCAATAGTATATATCCAAGGTAACAAAAATCTTATTGAAACTGGAGATAGTCTAGAGATAGTCACGCTATTGTAAATTGAATGTCAGAACGTCATACAACGTCGCATCATAGATTTTCTTTAATATATTTATTAGAATATATCTAATGGAATTTCGTTTATACGAAGAAAATTTTTTTAATTATCTTTAATCAATTATATCTGAATTAAATTATAATATTATTTTAACTTCGTTGCTTCGCTTTGTACAATATAATTGTAAATAATATTTTTATATTTGATAATTTCAAAATTTCAAAATCAAAATTTTTAATTATTATTATTAATTATTATTATAATTATCAGAGAAATTATAGTTAGAGGAAATGGTACTATAATCTTTTATTGGTGATTTTCATATTTATAACAAAGACACATAGTAGCAAGTAGTGTAACAGTGTTTCGTATTAATTTCATATTAATTATTTAAACAGCAAAACTTATGTTTGTGCTATTAATAAACATAGATAAGTTAATCTGCAAAATGAAGGAATCAACTTATCAGCAGTTGGAGTTTTAGAGAAAATGATAATTGGTAAAATTCTCTCGTATGAATATGAATTTCTATAAATTTTTTCTCGTCCTCATATTTATTTAAACGGAATTCCATCGGTATTTAAAGAAAAAAAAAGGTGCAATCATAAATTAGACCATGTTACACGATGATACGACGATTCACGATTACATTCGAATTTAAGGAATGGAAATGGAAATTAAGCTAGTCATCATATTCTAAAAAAAAACACGGCAGCCAACACGGTGGTAGATTTTCGTTTTCCAAATTCGTTCATTCGAATTCGAACATTCTTAGAGTTTCGTGGCGACGTTGTTCGAAGATGAAACTCTCGTGTCACGCTTGCAAGTGAAAAAGGAAGGGATTCGGTGTGATTAAAGTCAAATTTTAAAGTCAAATGACACGTTACGTTGTATTCGAGAGCAATGTAACGATTTTACGTAATCACGCGAAATCGATCTTATATCATTGGATCGCGTGTGCCACTGGAACGCGGGAAATGAAAATCGACGCGATGAAAATTGGTAAAATTCTCTCGTATGAATATGAATTTCTATAAATTTTTTCTCGTCCTCATATTTATTTAAACGGAATTCCATCGGTATTTAAAGAAAAAAAAGGTGCAATCATAAATTAGACCATGTTACACGATGATACGACGATTCACGATTACATTCGAATTTAAGGAATGGAAATGGAAATTAAGCTAGTCATCATATTCTAAAAAAAAACACGGCAGCCAACACGGTGGTAGATTTTCGTTTTCCAAATTCGTTCATTCGAATTCGAACATTCTTAGAGTTTCGTGGCGACGTTGTTCGAAGATGAAACTCTCGTGTCACGCTTGCAAGTGAAAAAGGAAGGGATTCGGTGTGATTAAAGTCAAATTTTAAAGTCAAATGACACGTTACGTTGTATTCGAGAGCAATGTAACGATTTTACGTAATCACGCGAAATCGATCTTATATCATTGGATCGCGTGTGCCACTGGAACGCGGGAAATGAAAATCGACGCGATGAAAATCGTGCGCGATTCTTTTCGGCGAATCATTGATCAACGTGCAAAAACTATTTCATTGTTATCTCTACATGATTAAAAAAATTAATTATTATTTTTAATAACGAGAGAATGATAATTTCGTTCGAATTCAAATTTTTTTCAATCCTTATATCTTGCGTTATTAATTTCGAGAATAAATAAAAATAGAAAATTAAAATGATAAAAAGATAAATTTCTATTAAATTTCTATTGAAAATTGGCTATATATTTTTGTGAAAAGGCATAATTTGCATCAATTGATTCGTTTGAAAAGGATAATATGGAATAAAAGAAGAGACTTGTTGAGAACTACCAAAGGTATTTCATCTTTTTCGTTGGAAATGATTATCTTGTTTTAAAACATCGAATAAGTGAGTCAATTAAATTCTCCTGTTCCTGGAATGAGAAGAATGTCTATTGAAATAACAAAAAGTTTCGTCATTTAAAGGTTTAATTATCGTAATTAAAAAAAAGAATGAAAAGGAATTACTATATTAATATATTTTAGAAGATTATATTTTATATAAAATGATTTTATATAAAGTAAAATTTTATTTTAATGGATTTGATTGTTCTAAACGAATCGATTAAATCTCTTCTTATATTTTGGCGGATATAATTTCGATTCGATTATTTTAAGATTAAAATTTCTTCGATTATATTCATCTTTGATTCTATCAAAATTAAAAAGTTCAATCATTTCAACCGATGGATGAATTATCCATTATTTGATTTGTGCAGATGTCTCGCTAATTATCCGTCAATTATTCACATCATTTCCTATAATTATTAATGTTACGGGTACACGAAGAGAAGTCAGAAATATTACTTAACTTCATTATTTATTAAGACATTTTAAGACGATGAATCGTTCGATTGTCGTTAAAGAATAAAGAAAGAAAAATTTGTGATTAAGAAAAAAGAAAAAAAAAAAAGAAAAACGCGAAAAAACGGAAAAAATAATCCTTGCTATCGGTTCGTTTCCTCTTAATCGTTGCAACTCGCGCTATCATGTTTCCTTTTAACCTCAATTTTTTTTAGCTGATAAACTTGCCAGAAACGATGATTTCTGTGTGTACAAAAT